TGTGTAGGGGAGGGGGGAGGTGCGGGGGAGGGGTGTCCCAGGGGAGGGGTTGCAGAGCCGGAGTGCAGGAGTGGGCACGGGACATGGGCCCCGAGGTGCTTGGCCCAGGACAGCGTGTGGCATCTGCAAAGCACCTGTCCGCGGTGGCAGCAGCCGGGCAATGGCCGGCAGGCATGTGCTGGCCTCACCCCCAGCAGCTGCTGAGGGGCCCTCGTGTTCCAGATAAGCAACCAGGCTCTGGAGACAGAGCCGCCCCCTCCGGGGCTGGGGTTTGAACACAGTCAGTTTGAACACAGTCAGTCTGGCCCTAAATGCCCTCGTCCACATCGAAAACATCATTAAGGCTCTTGCTTACAAGCAAGGCCTCCCCATTAGAACCTGCCCACCCACCACTAAATCCCGCAGGCCCGGGACCCCCTGGGGTCAGCTCTCGAATCTGGGTGACCCAGCCGTCCCCGTCGCCACACCACACGGGGGCTCCACCCAGGGGCCCGAGGCAGTCCCAGCCCCGCGGGTTCCCCGGTGACGGCCCTGCTGCCTGTCCTCTGCCAACAGTACATCCACGTGTTCCTCAACGAGGTGACGGCGCTGGTCCCCGTGCTCAGTGAGGCCAAGCACTCCTTCGCCGTGTACACCCCCGAGAGGACACGGCAGAGGTGGCCTGTGCGCCTGGCCGCTGCCACCGAGCAGGACATGAGCGACTGGGTGAGCGGGCGGGGGTCCCGCGGGCAGGCGTGCGGGAGCCTCGGTCTTGGGCGCCCAGCCTCCCTGACCAGCCACCCCCCTCGCCGCAGCTCGCCCTGCTTGACCTGTCCTGCTGCGAGAGCCGCAGGGTGCACGGCCGCCCCTCCCCGCAGGCCATCTGGTCCGTCACCTGCAAGGGGGACGTCTTCGTGAGCGAGCCCAGCCCAGACCTCGAGGCCCCCGAGCACTGGCTGCCCTGTGACCAGATGTGAGTTGGCTGTGCCTGATGGAGCTGGGGCCCTGGCCCAGAAGGTCACCCAGAGCCCGTGAGGACCAGGGGGACGTGGGTGAGGCTGGGAGGCCCTGCACAGGAGGGAGAGGGGATGTCTGTCCGCCCTTTGCTCATCCGCTCTTGGTGGCCCTGTGTGCCCGGCGCCCAGTCAGACGAGTTGCCTCTGGACAGTGGCAGGAGCGTGCCCCAGGTGGCAGCTGCACCCTGCACTCCAGGAGGCTGTGCTGGCCCAAGTGGTGGCCCCTCCTGGTCTGGCGTGACACGCCCGTCCCAGACCCCAGGGTGCAGGGGGGACTCAGGCTGCTGACCTCGCTCCCGTCTGCATAACTCCAGGGATCAGGGGCTCTTGAAGCTCCCGCTTGCTGGGGGCCTGACCGGCTCCTGCACCAGCTCAGGGTTCGCCTTAGCTGGTTAATTCCCAGTGGGAAGCCAGGGGGGTTCCCTTGTGCTCAATAGAGTCTGTCATTGGAGGCCGAAGGTGAGTGAAGCAGGACGTCCGGGAGGCCACGGAGCAGAGGGGTAGCCTCTGGAAAGCCCTGCGGGACGGTTTCTCCCCTCCCCTCCCTCCCTCCTCATCTCCAGGTTCTGGCGGCAAATGGGAGGCCACCTGCGGGTGGTGGAGGCCAACAGCCGGGGCGTGGTGTGGGGCATCGGCTACGACCACACGGCCTGGGTGTACACGGGTGGCTACGGCGGAGGCTGCTTCCAAGGTGAGGGTGGCAAGACCGGCTCCCCCAGCCCTGCCCCCAGCCTCCCGCACGGGCCGGTACCCCCTCTAATCCCTGTCTGGCTTCCCTGCCCCATGCCAGAGCCGCTGCGCCAGTATCAACGCTCAGCTGACAGCTAGCTGACAGGTGACCTTCACCACTGCCAACCTCCAAATCCCGGGCCCGCGCACAAAGCGTGAGAGCCCAGAGACCAGGTCTCGCCCCCAGTGGGCCTTCCTGGGCACCCACTGCTGAGCTGGAGGCCGTGAAGGTTCTAGAAAGACAGCCGCCAGGGCCAGTCTCCTGATTCCCAGGCCCGGATTCCAGCTCCCCTTTAGATGGGTTGTGCCTTAGGGGACGAGAACTTGCTGAACCCCTGGGGGCACCCCAAGTTCTGGAGGTAGGGTCCCTGTGTCTCCTACTGGTAAACGGAGGCAGAAACAAACACCGAAGTGGGACATTCCATGCCACAGCCCACACGCCCCACAGTGGAGGTGGCTAATCCTGTAGAACTGTGGTCCACTGAGACCCCAGGAAGGCACATCCATGCAAGTTTAACAGCTTCCCTGTTTGCGAGGCAGGAATTACTTTTGTCCCCGTCTTACAGGTGAGGAAAGTGGGGCTCATGGGCTTACATGAGGGGTCCAAGGCACCTTTGTTAGTAAGGAATGAGCTGGGTGGGCCTCACACCTGCCCAGTGCCAGGTGAGTGGGCTGGAAGGTGGGGGAAGAGGAGCAGGTGAGACTAGGGCGTGAGGTGGAGGAGTGTCAGATTCTTGCCACCAGGGCATGCAACCCCGGGTAACCCCAGAGGAGAGCAACCCAAGCCGCCAGACCCTGGGAGACAAGCTCAGCCGGCCTGTGAATCCTCTCGGCCCTCTCTTCCCGCCTGCTCTCACCTGGTCGGGCGGGCAGGTGTGGCCTGGGTCCAGCACCCTCCTCTCCACCCCCAGGCCTGGCCAGCAGTACCAGCAACATCTACACGCAGTCGGACGTAAAGTGTGTCTACATCTACGAGAACCAGCGCTGGAACCCCGTCACGGGCTACACCAGCAGGTGAGCCAGTCGCGCGCCCGCGGAAACAGGACCGAGCTGAACGGCCGCATCTGCTGGAGCGGGAGAGCTGACGTCTGGCCCCAGATGTGGAACTGACTGGATCTTACTGCTTAACAGGATTTTCTCCCATAAAGTATAACGCGTATTTTAAAAACTCACTTACTGAGAGCGTGACATACATAAAGTGCGTGAAACATACACATATACGTACATATGGTGAGATGTATCTAAATATGTTGATGTGTCCATATATATCATTGAATTTTCACAGATCAAACGCCAGCGTAATCACTACCAGGGTCACGAAACAGAACATCGCCACCTCCCTCCCCATCCCCTCTGGTGTTTTTTTTTTTTTTTTTTGAGTGGGGTGGTTACTTAACTTTCTTAAAAAGTTTTGTTTAATTGAAGCTGCTGAGAACATCACAGCCTCCACCGAAATTATTTTAATTCTCCAAATGTGAGGCTTTGGGACAAGACAGTCAATACGTTGTGTTTGGTGCAGAAGCGGAACACTCTAGAAAATCTAGATTGTACGCAGCTATATATTTCCTGCCCACTCAGCACAGAAACGTATTTCTCATAACCTGTCCTGGGGTATTTGGTTCGTTCGTTTCAGAAAGCAAGCGAGTTGTGGTATTTCTTAGCTCTTAAAGCCACTGCAGGGGTTTCGGCCGGCCAGAACAGCGGTTCTCAAACTTGAGCCTCATCCAAGCTCTGCGCTGGGGCCCCTCCCAGACTTGGCCCTGTGGGTCTCTTCTTTCGACTGGTTCCATTTCATATCCTGTATAATAAAACTACGATCCTAAGTAGAGAGCTTTCCTGAGTTCCCTGAGTCGTTCTAGCAAATTATCAAACCCGAGGAGGTAATGAGAACTGCCCCCAATTTGTAGCCAGTTGGTCAGAAGTGCAGTATGACTGGTATCTGAAGTGGGGGCAGTCTTGCTGGGGACCGTGCCTTTCCCTTGTGGGGACTGAGTGGTGTTGCAGTCCACCCAGTTGGTGTTGGAATACCCAGTTCTCTGCAGTGGGTGGACCTGTCCACACTCTCACAGGCAGGGCATGCCCCACATCTTTGCTGGTTTCTTATGTTTTAGCCACACTGATGAGCATGTAGTATATCTCTTGTTTCCAGTTTCTGTTTCCTGGGGGCTAATGGGACACAGCACCTTTCAAACATGTACTGGAACTTGGATACCCTCCTTTGTGAAATGCCCCTTTGAGTCCTTGTCCCATGTTTTGGTTGGATGATCTTTTTTCTTGATTTGCCAGTGCTCTTTACATGTGAAGGTGCGAGCCCTTTCTCTGTTATTTCTCCTGTTCTGCAGCTTGCTTTTCACCCTGTTAGTGGTGACTTAATTATTAAATGTAGTCCTGGTGATCATCCTTTTCTTTACATAAAGATGGAGCCTTTAAAAAAAATCTCTTAAGAAAGCTCATTAACCCCAAGGGGATTAATACATCCTTCTATCTCTGGAACAGCAGTCAGCAAACTTTTTCTATAAAGGACCAGATAGGAAATAGTTCAGGTGTGGTGGGCCTTAGGGTCTCTGTCACAGTGACTCACTTTGCAGCTGCCGCTTGAAAGCAGCCACGTAAACGAATGAGCATTGCTGCGTCCCAGTAAGATGTTATACCTGGACACAAATTTGAATTGCATAGAATTTTCACGTGTCACAAAGCATTATCCTTCTTTGAATTTTTTTCAACCATTTAAAACTGTAAAAACGACCCTTACTTTGTAGGCTGTGCTGAAACAGTCCTGATTAGGCCTGTGAGGCATGTTTTTGTCCACCCTGTTCTGGAAGCTTTATTCCTCTGTCTTGTCCATTTAGGTCTAGAACCCCCTGGCCTGAACTACTTGGTATATAAGGTGAGGTAGGGGTAAAGTGTTTTTGGTTTTTTACTCTCCAGTGACCCACACCATTTATTGAAAAGACTGTCCTTCCCCCTTGTATCACAGCGGCCACCTTTGCCTTAACTCCAGTGTCCATGGAGGCAGTGGCCGTTCCCAAGCCCTTCTCTTCCGCGCAGCTTTGGGCATCCTTGTGCTAACCCTACATTGTTCCAGCTGCCGTCCCTTTATGGGAAGTTGTCAAAGCCTCTCATCTTCTTTATCTAGCTTTGGCTCTTCCTGTATCAGTTCTAGGTGAACTTTAGAAGCAGTCCTCAAAAGCTCTTGGGGTCTTGGTCAGGATGGCCTTGGATCTATAAGGTCAGTTTGGGTAGAAACGTTATCTCACATTCCTAAATCTCCAAAATCTGGACGCAGTTTATACCTCCATTTATGTAGATCTTTAATTTCGTATTAATAGGGTTTTGTGATTTTCTATAATGGGGTCTTGACATCTTTTGTAAATGGTATTTCATATTTTTGAGTCTATGATAAATGGCACAAACTTTTAAATTTCCTTTGTGTTTTCAAAACTGATGAAAGGAAGAAATTTCAAATAACATGAAGAATAAATTCTAATCCCACCAAAACCAAAAATAGTAGCCACTACCCGCATCTTGGTGTGTTTCCCCCTGCCCGTCCCCAATGTGCCTGCATTTGCTGGTGGCAGGGGGACAGTCAGACATGTACAGATGGCCTGTGACAGCCTCCCAATTTGATCCCCGAGGGTGGACCTGGCTTATCTCACCCCTCCTCGGTCTTGGACGTGTAGACTGTTTGTGACCTTTTGCTGTCGTCTGGACAGTTTAAAGGATTTCCTCGTGTGTAAATATTTGCGAGTCTCTCCGTTCACCCCAGTAACTCAGGGTTTGAGCCCTTCTAAGGAAGCTGATACACGTTGCCTGCCTGTGTTCTGGAAGCCTCCGCCCCGGCTGTGTGTTAGGGTCCACACAGGATGCTGACCTGCTTGCCTCTCCCCTTCCTCCTCACTCCCTGCTTGGTCCTCGGGAGAAGAAAAGCAGCGCCGGGCTCCCCAGCCCGTGTAGAGAGTGCAAAGCCAGGGCCACAGCCGCCTGCGGAGACCACCGTGCGCTATGTGTTGCTGGGAGTGTATCAGTCAGCCGGGGCTGCTGTAACAAAACACCACGGGCTGAGCAGCTTAAACACCAGACTTTTATTCTCTCTGTTCTGGAGGCCGCGGAGTCTGAGGCTTGCTTCCTCCTGAGGGCCCTGGGGAGGATCTGTTCCGGCCTCTCTCCTGGCTTCCGGGGGCTTCCGGTGTTCCTTGTCTGGTGACTCAGTTGTCACATGGCCTTCTCCCTGTCTTCACGTCATCTTCCCAATTTGGGAAACTTGGGTCCAGATGTCCCCGTTTGGTAAGGACGCTGTCCTAGTGGACTGGGGCCTACTAAATAACCGTTTCATCTCAACTTGATTCTCTGCAAAGACTCTATTTCCAAATGAGGTCCCACTCATAGGCACTGGGGTTAGGGCTTCAACGTCTTTTCGGGACACGATGACCCACATGACGAGAGAACGAGGTGTGGGGTCCCTCGGGTGGGTGGCCTGGCTGTGGTTGGTTGGCACCTGGCCCCCGTGTGATGTAGGGTCCCCCCGTTGCTGTCCCCGCCCTGGGGCCATCCTGTTTCTGCCCTCTTGCCCCTCCAGAGATGCAGCTGTCCCAGGGGCCTGGGCAGGGGGGCCGTTCTCCCCTCTCTCTGGCGTCACCTCAGGCCTGTTGTCCTGTGCAGGGGTCTGCCCACCGACCGGTACATGTGGAGTGACGCCACGGGCCTGCAGGAGTGCACCAAGGCCAGCACGAAGCCCCCGTCCCTGCAGTGGGCCTGGGTAAGCTCCGGGCTGGGACGGGGCGGGGACTGCAGTGGGGGGTGTCCGCCCGCACTGACCCGCCCGTCCCCCAGGTTTCTGACTGGTTCGTGGATTTCAGCGTCCCTGGAGGCACGGACCAGGAGGGGTGGCAGTACGCCAGCGACTTCCCTGCGTAAGCATGTCTCTCTCTGCATGGGGAGGGGGCCTCAGGGGGCCACGACCCTGAGTGTCAGGCCCGGTCAGCCAGGCAGAGTCCCTGCCCCCTGCCCAGCAGTGCAGGCCCTTCACGGTACACAGTTCATGTCCAGATGGAGGATGGAGCCAGGCGAGACTGAGCCAGGGCCTGAGCCTGGCTTCTGAGCCTCAGGCTGGTTTATCCTGGACTGATCCCCCCCCCCCCCCCCCCCC